TTCTAATGTTGGGAACTATGATTAAAGTATTCAGGGAAAGCCACTCTAAACATTTTCTATTCAGCAACATCCAAATCCAAAGCCACACATGCATAGAAGGATCAGGTTCATAGCTACATTTTATTTCCAACAGTGTTTTTCTAAGTTCGTTTTCGTGTGACATAAATACTAATGTTCCAACCACAAGCACAGGTGGCCGAATGCATCTTTCTGTGGCCGAAGCTCTGAAATTGTTTCAATCAGATGTTTTTAATTCTGATAATGATAATGAAAATTTAATTTTTTTCGGAAAGTGATTCGGGCGGTGAATTTTGAGCGATCAACTGTTAGAAATCTAGCGATTCTAATGAGTTTACACAATGTCTCATTGCTACCGTATTTATGGTGTAAGAGAAGAAAAGTGCTTCAAACAAAGAGACAGTACTATACTATAACTAAGCTACATTGAAATCATTGCAGCTGCAGTCTGTATATAACTGTACAAAGTAAACAGTAAATAGTGTGTGTGTAATGGCTTATTTTTCTGCCATTTTTTCTCTGAAATTTAGCTCAGCACTCTGTGAGAACTAAGAGCTCCTGAGTGCTAAACTAACTAAGCAACGTATCATAACTTTAGAATTTGTTAGGAAATTGAAGAAACTTTGAAGTTTTGTTCTCAATTTGGATATTCACTACTCCTGTGGCTGCAAAACCATGGTAAGTGAAAAATTTGTTTGAAAAATGTTGTTGTTGTGAAATTAACACCTGTTGAATTCTTCTTTCCTTCTAACTATAAAAACAATTTAAACAAACACTTATCATCAGATTCAAAATGTACACTCGTTTCTCTTTTAAAAAATATTTACTTTTATAGGGATTAGAGGTATACTACATTCTTTATTGCCTTGCTTGCTCATCACCACCATTTTTGTAAAGGGAAATTAATGTATGCGGTCTGTCAAAATTCATAGGCTTGAAAGAGCGTGGCATTAGGAAGGCTGAGAACCACTGCTCTAGGTACTAAATGTTGCCCTGGGAAAAGATACGATTTGCGTTAAGACTTCAATATGACAACATTGACAAACAGAAGTAGTATTTAATAGTACAGTTCTAGTTGTAGTAATTTCTTCTTCGCCTTCACCAGCTGTAAACTCCGGCTGAAAGTTCTGGTTGTTCGTCCATTTCTGGTCTGCAGCCCTGTTCCAGAACCTGATTGTTGCGTGTGCATCCGTTTTACAGATCTGACTCATTGGCATGCAGACTGCTGGTTCCTTGCCTCTCAGGTAGATGCACTCCGACTTAGAAGGAAGCCCCCAATTAGTCGACTCTTACGACATGCTTTTGTGTAGGCAGTGGGTCTATTCTTGTTTTCCCTATATTAGGGCCCCGGAACCCACACGGGTAAGTTGTAGTAATGCTAGTGGTGAAGTAGTGGCGCTAGTAGTATTAGTAGTGCTGTTGGTGGTTCTTTTTTCTTCTTCTGCGTTCGACATCAGTGATGATAAACATTGAGTCCCGTCTGGGTCACACATAGGATTGTGCGCTTCTCTTTCAATGTGGCTCCCTTGGGCCAGATCCACAGTCTTTGCTGGGAGAGGTAAGGGCAATACTGTAGTATGTGCCCAGGGGTCTGTCTTTCTGCTCCACAATCACAGGCAGCAGATTCTTTTATGCCTATCCTGTGCAGGTGTGCTCGAAGACCACAGTGTCTAGTCCGAAGTCTACAAATTGATGTTTGCTCTTTCCTGTTGAGTTTGTTTATGCTGTCGCTCTCTGGTCTGTAATCTCCATTCTGCCTTCTCCACTCCTGCTTGAAAGACTGCTTTAACGCTGTTTTGGTTTCCTTGTAGCTGTGTGGTGGATGAGGTTGTGGAAGATTACTCCCAGCTTTTGTTGGTGGTGGTTTGTAGTGGTGGCGGTAGTAGTAGTAGTAAAAGTAATACTGCTGCTGGTGGTGGTGGCTGTAGTCGGATCATCTGCAGCAGTGAAGAATTAGTAGTGATAGTGTCAGTAATAGTAGCTCCCCTCGCACAACCCCCACCCCTGAGATAGATTCGATCGCAAGACCTCGGGGTCTACAGTCAAACCTCTAGCTACCGAAGCCCATTCTCTTCTCTAAGTCTATCTTTACTGACTATATTTGGGGGAAGGGAAAAGGGGAAGGGGGGGGGGGGGTAACTGAGCCTGAGAATCTAAGGCATGCATTTTGCTGTCGCCAAGAACTGTGCAGGTTATGATTTTTAAACAAAAATATATTTGCCTCCCACACACACACACACACACACACACACACACACACACACACACAAGTAAAAAACAATCACTTAACGAGGGATTCAACTCCACGTCTCACGGATGAGAGTTCAACCTCCTAGCCGCTCGGCCACTCACTTCTTCCTGCCTCCCTACCTAAACAATGTATGTAAAATTCACGCGACTGCTCGTGTTTTGATTTATAAACAGATGTATATCATATCACCATCCATTGTATCATTCATTACCTAGCGTATCACTTTTCATCCTATCAGCGATATCACTATCACCCAACTCCCACCACAGTTATGAAACAGTAATCTGATTGCTGATATACTATGTCATTACCAGACTAACTCCATGAAACCAACATGCAGCTTCACTTGCACCAGGTAGGGGAGTGGGTTGATGCACGTCAACACTGGGCCATGTATTTGGTTACTTGCCTGAAAACGATTTTATGCAAATGGGATGGGGATGTTCGGTTGTTGTAATTATCTCCAGTGTAACAAGTGTTTACATATTAAAATGTGAAGAATATAAATTAATACTGATAACTAAATCAGGAAGAAATTGTCGCTGAAGCATTCTGCGCCACCCGGTGAGGAAAATCTCTTATGAATACATAAAATTAAGGCAAATATGAAAAACTCAACACGTTGCAGTCTGCCACGCGACCACACAGCGGTTCTAGTCTCACATTTAGAAATGTTCGGTTACTGTTACCAAACGCTAAAAATAACACAAAATTTGATCAGAAAGCTGAAAGTAGGGAATGCAAAAGACGCACACAAACACAACCGAACGTTTCGACCAAATTCTTTTCCACGGAATACTCATAAGTACAGTACAAACTTGACTAGAAAACTCAACGGACAAGACAGCAGAGTTGAGTTTTCTAGTAACATTTTGTGTAATATTTAAAAATTTTTTTTTTTTTTTTTGCAATCGATGTTGAATACAACACACAAAATTGAGTAGAGAGCTCAACAGAAGGAAAATAATTCTCCTCCTCCTCCTCCTCCTCCTTCTCCTTCTCCTCCTCCTTTTTCTTCTTCTTCTTTTTCTTCTTCTTCTTCTTCTTCTTCTTCTTCTTCTTCTTCTTCTTCTTCTTCTTCTTCTTCTTCTTCTTTTTCTTCTTCTTCTTCTTCTTCTTCTTCTTCTTCTTCTTCTTCTTCCTTCTTCTTCTTTCTTCTTCTTCTTCTTCTTCTTCTTCTTCTTCTTCTTCTTCTTCTTCTTCTTCTTCTTCTTCTTCTTCTTCTTCTTCTTCTTCTTCTTCTTCTTCTTCTTCTTCTTCTTCTTCTTCTTCTTCTTCTTCTTCTTCTTCTTCTTCTTCTTCTTCTTCTTCTTCTTCTTCTTCTTTTTCTTCTTCTTCTTCTTCTTTCTTCTTCTTCTTCTTCTTCTTCTTCTTCTTCTTCTTCTTCTTCTTCTTCTTCTTCTTCTTTCTTCTTCTTCTTCTTCTTCTTCTTCTTCTTCTTCTTCTTCTTCTTCTTCTTCTTCTTTTTCTTCTTCTTCTTCTTCTTCTTCTTCTTCTTCTTCTTCTTCTTCTTCTTCTTCTTCTTCTTCTTCTTCTTCTTCTTCTTCTTCTTCTTCTTCTTCTTCTTCTTCTTCTTCTTCTTCTTCTTCTTCTTCTGCTTTTTTTTCTTCTTTTTCTTCTTCTTCTTCTTCTTCTTCTTCTTCTTCTTTCTTCTTCTTCTTCTTCTTCTTCTTCTTCTTCTTCTTCTTCTTCTTTCTTCTTCTTCTTCTTCTTCTTCTTCTTCTTCTTCTTCTTCTTCTTTTCTCCTTCTTCTTCTTCTTCTTCTTCTTCTTCTTCTTCTTCTTCTTCTTCTTCTTCTTCTTTTCCTTCTTCTTCTTCTTCTTCTTCTTCTTCTTCTTCTTCTTCTTCTTCTTCTTCTTCTTCTTCTTCTTCTTCTTCTTCTTCTTCTTCTTCTTCTTCTTCTTCTTCTTCTTCTTCTTCTTCTTCTTCTTCTTCTTCTTCTTCTGCTTTTTTTTCTTCTTCTTCTTTTTCTTCTTCTTCTTCTTCTTCTTCTTCTTCTTCTTCTTCTTCTTCTTCTTCTTCTTCTTCTTCTTCTTCTTCTTCTTCTTCTTCTTCTTCTTCTTCTTCTTCTTCTTCTTCTGCTAATATAATGTACACTGGTGTATTAACAGAACATGTATCTAGATGGAATACAATTGTTGTGTGAGAGATGAATGCTTGAAAGGATCTCCTTCTGCTTCTCGGTTTCCCTTTATCCTCCTTTTCTTTTTTTTTTCGATTCACCTAGCAATGCCGGGGAGACGCTCTTTCTCTAAAGACTTATTTGAATGTGTTCTTGATGCTCCGTTTGCTTCTTTGTGTTGTCCTCACCTTGCTTCGGGCTCATTACATAACTTCATTGTAGCTCTCGGTGGCAGGTGGTACCAGGGCTTTCTTGTTAGATGGCCAAACCATCTATTATTTTCATTTGAATTAAATTGTGATTGCTTTCAGTAGTAGTCTTCTTGTAATTTCTTCATTAGTAATGTTATCAACCAAACACTCATTCAGCCTGTCTATCATTATGTCTGCCATACTGTATGTCTGTCTACCAGTCTGCCACCTGAGTCCAACTTCCTTTGTCTCATTTATCTCTTTCGCTCAGTCTTTATACATTAGAGACCGCATTCCCCACCTCTCCCTAAGGCCTCTAGCACCCCCCCCCCCCCCTTTTTTTCGTCCAATGTATTAAATTTAGTCGTTTGGTGCAAACACTTACTTGAGTGGCCCAGCAGCGTGGATTGGGTGGTACCGTTGGACGTCTGGTCACCTGGGCCTTCATCCTCGGACTGGTTTTCCCATGGCCTGTAGCGCTCGTTTGTGTTTTTCTTGACCATAAACGACCGTGGCATCATTGGACCCGGCTGTTGGTTTGTGGACGTCGATTCTGACCTAGAGATATAGTGCATCATATTGTAAGTCGGGTTTGGTCAGTGTTATTGTTCAATATTGTTATTACTATTCTTGTTTCTTTTATTATTACTACTATTATTGTTCTCGTTCATCGTCGTCTTTATCATCATCATCATCATCATGTTCCCTATCATCTTCTTCCTCATCATCACCATCGTGTTCCTTATCATATTCCTCCGCATCATCATCATCATCATGTTCATTATCACCGGCATCATCATCATCATGTTCCTTATCATCATCTTCTTCTTCTTCTTCTTCTTCTTCTTCTTCTTCTTTGTTTGTTCTTCTTCTTCACTTGTTAAATTTGTTGTTGTTGTTGTTGTTCTTCTTCTTCTTCTTCTTCTTCTTCTTCTCTTTCTTCTTCTTCTTCTTCTTTCTTCTTCTTCTTCTTCTTCTTCTTCTTCTTCTTCTTCTTCTTCTTCTTCTTCTTCTTCTTCTTCTTCTTCTTCTTCTTCTTTCTTCTTCTTCTTCTTCTTCTTCTTCTCCTCCTTCTTCTTCTTCTTCTTCTTCTTCTTCTTCTTCTTCTTCTTCTTCTTCTTCTTCTTCTTCTTCTTCTCTTCTTCTTCTTCTTCTTCTTCTTTCTTCTTCTTCTTCTTCTTCTTCTTCTTCTTCTTCTTCTTCTTCTTCTTCTTCTTCTTCTTCTTCTTCTTCTTCTTCTTCTTCTTCTTCTTCTTCTTCTTCTTCTTCTTTCTTTTCTTCTTCTTCTTCTTCTTCTTCTTCTTCTTCTTCTTCTTCTTCTTCTTCTTCTTCTTCTTCTTCTTCTTCTTCTTCTTCTTCTTCTTCTTCTTCTTTTTTACACATAGAGTTTTAGCTATAAACGAACAGAAGTCTAATATTTTTGTTAAATGTATATTATGTACCATGACAAATGGGAGTCGCCGTCGAGGGGCGATTAGACGCCCGTCTGCGTATCGGAAGGTCGTGGGTTCGGATCCTGACGAGGGCCGGGCTTTTTTTTCCTTCAAAAAATGACTTTGACCTCCAGGTCGACCCAGCCTTGAGTGGGTACCAGGTATAGTCCTGGGAAGTAAAGGCGGCCGGTGTGATGCTGACCACATCAGCCACCAAGTGCCGTTGGTCTATAAAATACAGGTCCAGCCCTATATACCCAATACGCATAAAAGGCGTGGAAAAGGTCTCTTTACTTTACATTACTTATAACATGGTTCAAAATTGACAGAACTGACTTTATAGCACCGAGATCTATGTCATATGGCTCTACATTTCATTGCAGACTGCATAACCAGTTGTCTGCATCGTCGCATAGAGCACGAACTCCGTTTTTCGGGCGGTGATTTCCAGGATTCTACGTAAAACTTGAGTTGAACAAAACGGTGCAATAAGGGACACGAACCCACGACCTTCGCCGCTCCAGCAAAACGGCTTGATCACACTGTCACTGACATCCAACCCCACGCCCCCCCCCCTCCTTCTTTTTCTCAATATCTCTTTCTCTCACTGTCTCTCTTTTTTTCTCTTAATCTCTCTCCTAATCTCTCTTTAATTTATCTCTCCTAATCTCTCTCTGTCTCTTTCTCTCCCAATTTGTAACCCTTCGAAAATAAAGTTTTTTCTTTCTTTCGTTCGTTCGTTCGTTCGTTCGTTTCCAATCTCTCTGTAAAATTTCCTCTCTCTTTTCATCTATCTCCCTCCATCCTCTCTTTCCCTGACCTTTCTCTCTCTCTCTCTCTCTCTCTCTCTCTCTCTCTCTCTCTCTCTCTCTCTCTCTATCTATCTATCTATCTATCTCTCTCCCCCTCTCTCTCTCTCTCTCTCTCTCTCTCTCTCTCTCTTTCTCTCTCTCTCTCTAACACTTTTCCATTCTGGATCTTGAAAGTCAGCTCCATGTCCTTAGCCGCGCAGGACTGCAGGTTACACATGGATAGTGTAGCCAATATGGGCGCTCCTTCTGTGGAGGTTAAACAGGGTATCTGGGATCTGCCATGTCGGTCTATCGTCTGGAGTAAGAGTTCTTCATGTCTGGATGATATGGTAAACCCTTTGGTAAACCTTTTGGTAAACCTTTAAGTATCAGCCCAGAGACGTATCAATCGATATTCACCTCAAATTTCAACTGATCTAAAACAGCCACCATGGAAATTTAAAAAAAAATTGTAATCGAAGATGATAAAATTACTTAACGCGTTCACTAACCACTGAGTCTAAGAGCTACAACCGTCCTCAGTGTTGTTGTTTTTGGTTTTTTTTTTTTTTTTTCATGAGATGTGTGTCATTTACCGGATGTTGTAGAACCAACCTCGGCATCTCAGTTAACAATTGTACTTTTAGTAGTTTGATTGTTTTTGACTGGTCGGCCCTCGTTACCGCCGTCGAAATCAATGCAAAGCGGTCTGCTGCCAAATCGCCCCCAGCTGGGATCGATTCCGGCGCTTTGGAATTACGAAGCGAATTCTTGATGTCCAAGCCACAGACGCTCAATAGTGAACAGTTAGGTAAATATATTACTAAATATTACTTTAACTCGTCTCTGTTAAGTAACCAAGTAGGAGTTGAGTGGTTATACATTGCTGACTGACGCAGAACTTTGTACTGATTACAGACTGGGCAGGAAGTGTTAACTCGCAGTAACCTAGCAGCTAGAAGTGAAAGCAAGAGAGAGAGAGAGAGAGCGGGAGAGAGACAGATAGAGCAAGAGAGAGAGAGAGAGCGGGAGAGAGACAGCTAGAGCAAGAGAGAGAGAGAGCGGGAGAGAGACAGCTAGAACAAGAGAGAGAGCGGGAGAGAGACAGCTAGAGCAAGAGAGAGAGCGGGAGAGAGACAGCTAGAGCAAGAGAGAGTCAGAGAGCCAAAGCTAGAGGGAGAGTGTTGAGAGAGAGCCAGAGCAAGAGAGAGTGTGAGAGAGCCAGAGCAAGAGAAAGATAGTGTGAGAGAGCCAGAGCAAGAGAGAGATAGTGTGAGAGAGCTAGAGCAAGAGAGGGCCAGAGCAAGGGAGAGAGCGAGAGCAAGAGAGAATAAGAGAGAGCGAGATTGAGAAAGAAAGTGAGAGCAACAAATAGAGCGGGAGAGAGACAGCTAGAGCAAGAGAGTGTCGGAGAGCCAAAGCTAGAGGGAGAGTGTTGAGAGAGCCAGAGAAAGAGAAAGGGTGAGAGAGAGCCAAAGCAAGAGAGAGATAGTGTGAGAGAGCCAGAGCAAGAGAGAGATAGTGTGAGAGAACCAGTGCAAGAGAGGGCCAGAGCAAGGGAGAGAGAGAGAGCAAGAGAGAATAAGAGAGATAGCGAGAGTGAGAAAGGGTGGGAGAGAGAGCACAAGAGAAATAGAGAGAGCGAGGGCAAGATAGAGAGCGAGAGAGAGTGAAAGAGAAAGTGAGAGCAAAAGAGAGAGAGTGAAAGAAAAAGTGAGAGCCAAAGAGAGAGAGAGAGTGATTGCAAGAGAGAGTGAAAGAGAAAGTGAGAGCAAGAGAGAGAGAGAGTAAAAGAGAAAGTGAAAGCAAGAAAGAGTGAAAGAGAAAGTGAGAGCAAGAGAGAGAGTGAAAAAGAAAGTGAGAGCAACAAATAGTGTGAATGAGAGAGCGAAAGCAAGAGAGCGAGATAGAGAGAGAACAAGAGAGTGAGAGAGTGAGCGGGATCAAGAGAGTTAGAGAGAGAGCAAGAGCAAGTGAGAGAAAGCTAGAACAAAAGAGAGTGAAAGAGAGCAAGAAAGACTGAAAGAGAGCGGGAGCAAGAGCGAGTGGTAGAGAGAAAAAGCAATAGAGAGAGTCTTCTTCTTCTTCTTCTTCACTTCCTCTTTTACCGCTGTGGGTGTCGAGGGAGATATAAGGTTCTGTTTCTAGCTCTTCTGGCTGCCTCGACCATAGGCACATCGTGCTGTTGTAGAGTTTCTCTTATGTTATCCTTTCATATTGTTCTTGGTCTACCTCGTGCTCTACGTCCCTCTTCTCTTTCCATGTATGCCTTGTATTGTAGCACAGAGTTGGAATAAATATGCTTTGAATAAGGTGTCTCTTTGTGATGATTGGGATTGTCTTATGCTGTAAGAGGGGGGCTAGCTGTCCCAATACTTGGTTTGCTTTATTGCATCTAATGTTAATTTCTTTATACAATTTCCCATCTTCGGTAAATGTAGTTCCCAGATATTTAAACTCAGATGCCTCTTGAATGCCTTTGTATTCTTTTGCTATGTTTAGATCTGTCTTCTTTTTTCCTATTGACATTACTTCTGTCTTTTCAGTGTTGATTCTCATATTATTTGTTTTACATTCTTCATTCATGGCTGTTAGATGTTGTTGCAATTTCACGGCTGTATCTGCTATCAAGGCCTGGTCATCTGCAAAGAGTAATTCGTTGATCTTACTAACATTTTCATCCATGGGCTTGGCATTCTTGCATATACTGTCGGTGTAGTTGATAAACAGCAGTGGTGATAAGACACACCCCTGTCTTACTCCAGATGTTACTGTGAAAGGATAAGATGTTCCCTGATTTATTCTAACTACACTTCTACAATCCCTGTATAAACTTTTGCACACTTCGATGAGGTGTTCGCTTACTCCATATCTTACCATTACTTTCCATAATAATTGTCTGTCGACTCTGTTAAATGCAACATAGAAAGTGAGAGCAACATAGAGAGTGAGAGCAACATAGAGAGTGAGAGCAACATAGAGAGTGAGAGCAACATAGAGAGTGAGAGCAACATAGAGAGTGAGAGCAACATAGAGAGTGAGAGCAACATAGAGAGTGAGAGCAACATAGAGAGTGAGAGCAACATAGAGAGTGAGAGCAACATAGAGAGTGAGAGCAACATAGAGAGTGAGAGCAACATAGAGAGTGAGAGCAACATAGAGAGTGAGAGTAGGATAGAGAGTGAGAGCAAGATAGAGAGATAGAGCAAGAGAAAGAGTGAAAGAGAGTGGGAACAAGAGAGAGAAAGCAAGAGAGAGGTGAGAGAGAGCAAGAGAGAGAGTGAAAAAGAGAGT